ATTCATTAGTTCATCTTTCAATTATTTTCCTATTCAACACTGAATCTTTTTTCGTTCTCTCTCAAAACTTTTATTTTTCTTTTCTTCTTCCTTTTCTTTTCTTCTTTCTTTTCTTTTCTTCCACCATTTCTCGTCTTCCCCTTTAGTTTTCTTCCCTTTCCTTTTCTACTACGCGTTTCAATCTTAATTTCAACAAAGCCGCTTTTCGACGCTATCTAACCATGCGTTCCACCAATTATTTACACCGTTCGCGCCGGCGCAAACGTATCTGCCATTTCTATTCAGCTATTGTGCAGCCGTTGTTAAAAAGATTTCCCAAGCCATTGATAGTGAGTTTGAACTTCATCTGTAGGTGACCTTCAATCACTCAATGCAACGCTGACTGACAATTACTCGATGAGAAACACACACGCACACGGAGAGCAGCATATTACATAATATATATCCATGTTTGTTGTTCATCTGTTCTAACATCAAATCTATCTGAGACTGTTCGTATCTATCTATTTATCTATCAACCCCTTTCTATCTATCTATCTATCTATCTATCTATCTATCTATCTATCTATCTATCTATCTATCCGCCCTTTCAATCTATCTGTCTTTCCAACTATCTATCTATCTATCTATCTATCTATCTATCTATCAACCCCTTTCTCTCTCTCTCTCTCTCTCTCTCTATCTATCTATCTATCTATCTATCTCAGTGTCTTTCTTTCTATGTATTTATCTATCTAAGCATATTTATATCTTTCTATCTGTGTATTTTCATATATCTCTCTACCTACACACACGCACCCACTAATATATATATATATATATATATATATATATATATATATACACACACAGCCTTGTGCAAATTAATTGAAACAAAACGAATAATTCAGTTATCATTTACTATTTTTTTGTATTTTTTCAATGAGACATGGCCTAGTGCACATGTTAGTACTTCGTATGTCTATCCCACAAAGTCTTTCCTTGCCGATTGACCTTAGATTTTCGATTGGATTTAAAACAGGAGATTTTCCGAGGCAGTCTATAGTACTTTGATTTAGTCACAGCTAAGAGTTGCCATTGTGTTTGTGCAGCGTTACAATTTCCATAAGCTTTCTTGGAGTAATGTCCATTGCAGACAATGGCTGTACGACAACTAATCGACAGTCGAGACAATAGTGTTTGGGCGTAATAAAAATCTGATGCAATCACGGATGACGAAATATTCTTCAATGCCAAACAAATTTCATCACACAACCGGAAAATAGATTCATATTACTGCACACTACTGCAAATGATTTAATCTAAGAAAAATAGAAATCAATTACACGCTTTACATCTATTTGTTGATATACAACCTTTTTCAAATTATTTGAAACAACCACTTTAGTTTTCTTTCTTTCACCATACGGTCAGTTTTAGACCCACTGGAGTGACAGGTTGTAATCGATTTCTATTTCTTAAGTGAGTTGGTAGGAGAGTGATGACCATCAAAAGCATCCGCGTCCTGGGTAAGACGATAAACTGCATCCGCGACCTGGGTAAGACGATAAACGGCATCCGCGTCCTGGGTAAGACGATAAACTGCATCCGCGTCCTGAGTAAGACGATAAACGGCATCCGCGTCCTCGGTAAGACGATAAACTACATCCGCGTTCTGGGTATGACGATAAACTACGTCCGCGTCTTTGGTAAGACAATAAACTACATCTGACAGCAAGGCCTTTTATCAGGAGGTTTTGAGGAGCGTGGAACCACCTCTTAATTGCTGATGTTCCCAGGTCCACCCTGATCTTGAATAATAGCGCCTGTTAGGGTCCCAATCTATGGTCAAATAGTGATTCCCCCCGCAAATAAAAATGGTCAAAACTGTATGAAAGTGTAAAAATCGGTTTCAATACCAGCAAAAGATTTTTTTGAGGAAAACTTATTACTAGCAATACATTTTTGAAAGAAAAATTATATTACCAGCAATACACTTTTTGAAAAAATATTACCAACAATAAAAATCTTATCGGCATTAAATAAGCCATTGAGGTTTATAGGCTATAAAACATAACAAACCAAACCAATCAAAAGCAGCTGAGCTACAATCTAACAGAAAAATATACAAAAACCCTAATCCTAACCTCTGAAATAATATATATATATATATATAAGAAGGGGGAATGATTGTAAGCATCAAGATTGGTTTAATGAAAATAATACAGAGATTCACTGACTGAAAAAATTCATTCTTCAGCACTAAAAGGAAACTATATTTGGTCTGTAAACGAATTGTTCGCCGAGCCTTAAGTAAATTGAAAACGGAGCAGTGGCCATCAAAAGCAGCTGAGGTACAAAAACTAACAGAAAAATATACAAAAAATCCTTCTGTGAAGCTATCAAACCTGTTTATTGCTCCAGCAACTTGAATCCCCACCGATATTAACATCAAACCTATCCACTTTACTGCCTGATAAAGGTGACATTCTTAATCGCTGGAAAAAAAAAGACAGTTAAAAACTCTTTTAAATTCTCCATCGTATGCGGATCGAAATGTCATTAATTCAATTCCTTTAGGGACAGAAATTTCAGAACTAGATTTTGATCCGACATGTGAGGAAGTGAAAATAGCCATAAAATAAAAGTAAATCGACTGACGATGATGCAATACCAGTCGAAGTGTAAAACTATGCAGCTAATGTACTTGTGTTTGAGCTCTTGAATTTGTTTGTCGCGATTTGGTAGCACGTCCTTATTCCCCAGGGAGTTAAAGACGCCTCCATTACCTATATCTATTTAAAAGTGGTAAAGGAGTGTGTGACAATCATCGGTGTACATCGTTGCTCCATGTCGCAGGCAAGTTAGTTGCTGGAGTTATACTCAGCAGAATAATGACTCACCTTTTAGATAATGTTTATCCGGAACCCCAAGGTAGTTTTAGGGATGGGAGATGAACCATATACATGATATATTGCTTGCAACAGAAGGCGGGAGATAAACGATGTGTTATTTATCGTCTTTCTTTACTTTATGCCTCTTCTACTTAACATATGCAAATACACCCTTGTGCAAATTAATTATATAGGAAGATGTGGAGAGCCATGATCATCTACACCCTTTTGAAAATTAATTGAAACAAAACGAATAATTCCGTTATTATTTACTTTTTTTTTTCGTATTTTTCCAATAAATCTGTCAGCATAGAACTTACAGCGACATTTAGCTAGATCAACTAATTACTTTATTAAATACTTGTGCTTTGCTAATTATTTTCGATCCCATTTACTGTTAAGTCTAAAGTCTTTATTGTAGATGTTGTTACACCCTTGTACAAATTAATTGGAACAAAAAGAATAAATCCGTTATTATTTACTTTTATTTCGTATTTTTTCCAATGAAACATGGACCAGTGGACATGTTAGTACTTCGTATGTTCATTCCACGAAGTCGTTCCTTGCAGATTCACCACAGATTCTCGACTGGATTTAAATCAGAGGAGATTTTCGGACTAGTCTATAATACTTTGGTTTGCTCACTCGTAAGGCTTGCCAGTGTGTTTGTACAACGTCCCAAAGACTAATTTCTGACTGTCGTCTGTACTATGACATGCATATATGACATTATCCAAGTAATTCAGTTCAGTCAAGCCTCTATATCTTGTATGTTTTTATTTTATTTGGAGTATACCTTTATAATAGTTAAAATAAACACATAACACCCTTGTTCAAATTAATTGAAACAAATGAATAATTCCGTTGTTATTTAAATTTTTTTTTCGTATTTTTCCAATGAAACACGACCCACTGTACAGGTTAGTAGTTCGTATGTCCATTCCACGAATTCTTTTCTTACAGACTGTTATATACCGTATCTATGAACACTAATGGGTATGTCCCAATTCTCATAGATATGTTGGACACTATTGTAAGTGGGGGGGGGGGTTAATATGCTGTCTAAATAGTCCAACACTATCAGTGGTTTACCTACTTCACGCCGCTGGCGAGTATTGTATTTTGTTGATGTTATAAAGATTACCATTTCATTTCCGACCTCCGTTTTGGTTATTCCTCATTCAGTAACCTTTTCTATGTTACAACACAGACTAACCACAGATTTTCGATTGGTAAGGCTTGTCAGTGTGTTCGTGTAGTGTTACAATTTTCCTACGCTACATTAGAATAACGTTTATCGCCGACAATGACCATAGGACAAATAATCGACAGTTGAGACAATAGTGTCTGGGCGTGATGGAAATCTGATCCAATCATGAATGACGCATTGTTTTTCAAGGGCAAATAAATCATACACCCCGAAAATAAATTCATATTACTCCACACCCCTGCAAATAACTTAATCCGAGGAAAAAAAAAAGAAATCGATTACACCTTGTCACTCTAATGGGTCAAAAACTGACCATTTGGAAGAAGAAAGGAAAATAAAGCGGTTGTTTCAATTAATTTGCACAAAGGGGTGTATGCTATAATGTTTTACTATCTATGTTTTGTGACGCACAGTGGCCGTTAATAATTAAGCATATCTCAAGACTTCAATGTTAAATAAAACATTATTTAATTACAACCGCAAATAAATACTTAAGAAAAACAAAGAAGTCAATGTCAACCAAAGATAATTAACCATTTCAGTGAATAGCTTGTTAGTAGCCAAAACCCAAATCATCGACGCACAATAATTCACACTTATTCGACTGGATAGTTCCACTTACTAGTCCCTCAGTAATCATCGCAGTCAATTCTATATAAAAGAAATCACAAAATATAGGTACATAACAACATACTGTTTTGTAAAAAAAAACAAAAAAACTTTCTGCATAATATAAGAAATTAATATTCACATCTGAAGTATATTTTACATGTATATATACAAATGCTATCTATCTATCTATCTATCTATCTATCTATCTATCTATCTATCTATCTATCTATCACAGTCTCTTTTTATCTATCTATCTATCTATCTATCTATCTATCTATCTATCTAAGCAATTATCAAAAATCTGATGCAATCACGGATTTTGCAATATTTTTCAAGTCCAAACAAAATCCATCATGCACTCCAAAAATAAATTCATATTACTGCACACCACTGCAAATGACCTAATCTGAGAAAAAAAAATAGAAATCGATTACACCTTGTCCCTTCAGTGGGTCTAAAACTGACGGCACAGTGAAAGAAAGGTAACTGAAGTGGGGGTTTCAATTAATTTGCTCAAGAGTATTTAAAAGAGGAAAAAGAGTTTGTGATAATCATGGGTGTATATCGTTGCACTCTGTCGCAGGCAAGTTAGTTGCTAGAGTTATTCCCAGTAGAATAATGACTCACCTTTTAGATAATGTTTATCCGCAATCCAAGTGTGGTTTTAGGGATGGGAGATGAACCATAGACATGATATATTGCTTGCAACAGGCTGCAGAGAAAAGGCGTGAGAGAAACGATGTGTTATTTATCGTCTTTCTTTACTTAGGTTTTTGACTCCGTTAATCGAAATGCTGAAGAAAATTACGATTCCTTGTAAGATGCTCAATGTTATATAATCCTTCAGTGAAAACATGCAAGCTTCGGTTAAGTCAGATCAAAGTGAAAAAGGTCCTTTTCCTATTAACACTGAGAAAAAAATAAAGATGTATAAAGAACCCTGTTTATTAGCCATTTACTTTTCGCTGATACTTGCGTATACCTTCGGTTGTAGCGATAGAAAAATAAATATCTGTCTATATTTCGGAGATGAGGTATTATGTACATTATTTACATTATTCGGACTATTTTCCTCATCTTTGTCGCCATATTTATTACAACGTTTCGGCCCTTCACTATCTGTCTATATTTCGGAGATGAGGTATTATGTACATTATTTACATTATTCGGATTATTTTCCTCATCTTTGTCGCCATATTTATTACAACGTTTCGGTCTTTCAGTATCTGTCTATATTTCGGAGATGAGGTATTATGTACATTATTTACATTATTCGGATTATTTTCCTCATCTTCGTCGCCATATTTATTACAACGTTTCGGTCCTTCAGTATCTGTCTATATTTCGGAGATGAGGTATTATGTACATTATTTACATTATTCGGATTATTTTCCTCATTTTTGTCGCCATATTTATTACAACATTTCGGTCCTTCAGTATCTGTCTATATTTCCGAGATGAGGTATTATATACATTATTTACATTATTCGGATTATTTTCCTCATCTTTGTCGCCATATTTATTACAACGTTTCGGTCCTTCAGTATCTGTATATATTTCTGAGATGAGGTATTATGTACATTATTTACATTATTCGGATTATTTTCCTGATCTTTGTCGCCATATTTATTACAACGTTTCGGTCCTTCAGTATCTGTCTATATTTCGGAGATGAGGTATTATGTACATTATTTACATTATTCGGTTATTTTCCTCATCTTTGTTTCCCGGTCCTTCAGCCATATTTATTACATTATGTTTATTCCTTCAGTTTTCCTATCTTTGTCTATATTTCCGAGATGAGGTATTATATACATTATTTACATTATTCGGATTATTTTCCTCATGTTTGTCGCCATATTTATTACAACGTTTCGGTCCTTCAGTATCTGTCTATATTTCTGAGATGAGGTATTATGTACATTATTTAAATTATTCGGATTATTTTCCTCATCTTTGTCGCCATATTTATTACAACGTTTCGGTCCTTCAGTATCTGTCTATATTTCTGAGATGACGTATTATGTACATTATTTACATTATTCGGATTATTTTCCACATTTGGTCGCCATATTTATTACAACGTTTCGGCCCTTCACTATCTGTCTATATTTCGGAAATGAGGTATTATGTACATTATTTACATTATTCGGATTATTTTCCTCATCTTTGTCGCAATATTTATTACAACGTTTCGGTCCTTCAGTATCTGTCTATATTTCTGAGATGAGGTATTATGTACATTATTTACATTATTCGGATTAATTTTCCTCATCTTTGTCGCCATACTTATTACAACGTTTCGGACCCTTCACTATCTGTCTATATTTCGGAGATGAGGTATTATGTACATTATTTACATTATTCGGATTATTTTCCTCATCTTTGTCGCCATATTTATTACAACGTTTCGGTCCTTCAGTATCTGTCTATATTTCTGAGATGAGGTATTATGTACATTATTTTACATTATTCGGACTATTTTCCTCATCTTTGTCGCCATATTTATTACAACGTTTCGGCCCTTCAGTATCTGTCTATATTTCGGAGATGAGGTATTATGTACATTATTTACATTATTCGGACTATTTTCCTCATCTTTGTCGCCATATTTATTACAACGTTTCGGTCCTTCAGTATCTGTCTATATTTCTGAGATGAGGTATTATGTATATTATTTACATTATTCGGATTATTTTCCTCATCTTTGTCGCCATGTTTATTACAACGTTTCGGCCCTTCACTATCTGTCTATATTTCGGAGATGAGGTATTATGTACATTATTTACATTATTCGGATTATTTTCCTCATCTTTGTCGCCATATTTATTACAACGTTTCGGCCCTTCAGTATCGGTCTATATTTCGGAGATGAGGTATTATGTACATTATTTACATTATTCGGACTGTTTTCCTCATCTTTGTCGCCATATTTATTACAACGTTTCGGTCCTTCAGTATCTGTCTATATTTCGGAGATGAGGTATTATGTACATTATTTACATTATTCGGACTATTTTCCTCATCTTGTCGCCATATTTATTACAACGTTTCGGCCCTTCAGTATCTGTCTATATTTCTGAGATGAGGTATTATGTACATTATTTACATTATTCGTATTATTTTCCTCATCTTTGTCGCCATATTTATTACAACGTTTCGGCCCTTCAGTATCGGTCTATATTTCGAGATGAGGTATTATGTACATTATTTACATTATTCGGACTATTTTCCTCATCTTTGTCGCCATATTTATTACAACGTTTCGGTCCTTCAGTATCTGTCTGTATTTCGGAGATGAGGTATTATATACATTATTTACATTATTCGGACTATTTTCCTCATCTTTGTCGCCATATTTATTACAACGTTTCGGCCCTTCAGTATCTGTCTATATTTCTGAGATGAGGTATTATGTACATTATTTACATTATTCGGATTATTTTCCTCATCTTTGTCGCCATATTTATTACAACGTTTCGGCCCTTCAGTATCTGTCTATATTTCGGAGATGAGGTATTATGTACATTATTTACATTATTCGGACTATTTTCCTCATCTTTGTCGCCATATTTATTACAACGTTTCGGTCCTTCAGTATCTGTCTATATTTCGGAGATGAGGTATTATGTACATTATTTACATTATTCGGACTATTTTCCTCATCTTTGTCGCCATATTTATTGCAACGTTTCGGCCCTTCAGTATCTCTCTATATTTCTGAGATGAGGTATTATGTACATTATTTACATTATTCGGACTATTTTCCTCATCTTTGTCGCCATATTTATTGCAACGTTTCGGCCCTTCAGTATCTGTCTATATTTCCGAGATGAGGTATTATGTACATTATTTACATTATTCGGATTATTTTCCTCATCTTTGTCGCCATATTTATTACAACGTTTCGGTCCTTCAGTATCTGTCTATATTTCTGAGATGAGGTATTATGTACATTATTTACATTATTCGGATTATTTTCCTCATCTTTGTCGCCATATTTATTACAACGTTTCGGTCCTTCAGTATCTGTCTATATTTCGAGATGAGGTATTATATACATTATTTACATTATTCGATTATTTTCCTCATCTTTGTCGCCATATTTATTACAACGTTTCGGTCCTTCAGTATCTGTCTATATTTCTGAGATGAGGTATTATGTACATTATTTAAATTATTCGATTATTTTCCTCATCTTTGTCGCCATATTTATTACAACGTTTCGGTCCTTCAGTATCTGTCTATATTTCTGAGATGAGGTATTATGTACATTATTTACATTATTCGGATTATTTTCCTCATTTTTGTCGCCATATTTATTACAACGTTTCGGCCCTTCACTATCTGTCTATATTTCGGAAATGAGGTATTATGTACATTATTTACATTATTCGGATTATTTTCCTCATCTTTGTCGCAATATTTATTACAACGTTTCGGTCCTTCAGTATCTGTCTATATTTCTGAGATGAGGTATTATGTACATTATTTACATTATTCGGATTAATTTTCCTCATCTTTGTCGCCATACTTATTACAACGTTTCGGACCCTTCACTATCTGTCTATATTGCGGAGATGAGGTATTATGTACATTATTTACATTATTCGGATTATTTTCCTCATCTTTGTCGCCATATTTATTACAACGTTTCGGTCCTTCAGTATCTGTCTATATTTCGGAGATGAGGTATTATGTACATTATTTACATTATTCGGACTATTTTCCTCATCTTTGTCGCCATATTTATTACAACGTTTCGGCCCTTCAGTATCTGTCTATATTTCGGAGATGAAGTATTATGTACATTATTTACATTATTCGGACTATTTTCCTCATCTTTGTCGCCATATTTATTACAACGTTTCGGTCCTTCAGTATCTGTCTATATTTCTGAGATGAGGTATTATGTATATTATTTACATTATTCGGATTATTTTCCTCATCTTTGTCGCCATGTTTATTACAACGTTTCGGCCCTTCACTATCTGTCTATATTTTTGGAGATGAGGTATTATGTACATTATTTACATTATTCGGATTATTTTCCTCATCTTTGTCGCCTATATTTATTATAACGTTTCGGCCCTTCAGTATCGGTCTATATTTCGGAGATGAGGTATTATGTACATTATTTACATTATTCGGACTATTTTCCTCATCTTTGTCGCCATATTTATTACAACGTTTCGGTCCTTCAGTATCTGTCTATATTTCGGAGATGAGGTATTATGTACATTATTTACATTATTCGGACTATTTTCCTCATCTTTGTCGCCATATTTATTACAACGTTTCGGCC